GTTCTGAAATCTGGCATCTCAGGCAAGATAAACATAGAGGGTTCTGAGAGCAGAGACAACAGTTAGGAAAGGTGCTGCACTGAACCTACAGTGGTTCAGGAGGGAGACGAGGGGGACCGAGGATGGTATTCCAGGGAACTGAGCAGCGGGCTCTGATGGAAGAAAAATAATGGAGGTAATGTACACATAACTTGGTAACTGACCACATTTAGGAGGCAGGGAGGAGATCCACAGACAATATTTATAGCTTAGAAAACCATGAACAGAAATAGCCACGACAGGAAAAGCCAGTTGAGTGCCATGAGGCAGGAGATGAGACAAATGAAGAGTTCAGTGTGGATTCTTACTGAGCACAGGGCACCTGTAATGTATTCAGAAGGCATTCAAGAGGATATTGGAAATCAGTCTAACATTTAGGAGAGGAGGCTTTAATCCTAGCAATGGTAGAGTTGCTTAGGGCCAACTCTTCGGCTGAGAATAACCAGAAAAGCTGGGGAAGCAGTTTTTTCAAAATCTCTCTGAAGGCATCAGAGGACTGACTGCCAAAGCAGTGAGGAGTTGCGGACCCAAGTCCTAGGAGAAGGGGGTAAGCCAAGAAAAGTGAGTCTAACATTTGGAGCCACTTTTCCTCTCAAGGAGATTGTTAGTTCTAAAAGCAGAAGCTGAGAAGCCAAGTAGAGCTCTCAGTAAACAAGGCTGGGAGGAGAAAATAGTTGAGGGCTTACCAAAAAGGAAGAACCCTGAAACCTGTACCAGGTTTTTATGTGGGGTCCAGGAGGGCTATGACTGTACAGTAGGAATCAAGGTGAAGCTCTTCTAAAGCCCAGCTTCGAATCTTACAAATCCTTGACTGGGCTTTCTAGTGCCTTTAGCCTAGAGCTGCCTGCCAAAAGCAAAAGTAAATTCCAATAGAAAACATTCATCCAAAAATAGCTAAGCATGAAAAGACAAAACATGCTCAGAGACATTTTCAGAGACAGACCTATAATAGAAATCCCAGAGGATTCAGATAATGGAGTTACCAGACCTACGTTTTAAAATAGCGATGATTAAGGACTTAGGGGAATTAAAATAGAGAATTTCAGATTCTCAAATTAAACATTTGAGAACCAAAATTTATAGTATCTGTTACTAACAAGTCAATGGATAAATTTAATAATGGATTAGACATGACCGAAAAGAGAATTAGTGAGCCAGAAGATAGAGCAGAAAAGTATCCAGGCTGAAATAGAGTCAAAAGAGTGAAGAACACAGAAAAGAACATAAAAAACATATGGGATATGAGGAATAGGTTTTATAGACATAATTGTAGCTAGAAGGAGAGGAGAGAGATTGGAGCAGTGTTAGAAGATAAAATGGCTGAGAATTTCCCAAACTCAAATTTCCCAAATCAAGCTACAGTTTCAAGAACCACCACGAACTCCAAGCATGTCCAAACAAAACAAAACAAAACAAAACAAAACCTCCCTTAAACAATTAAAAAAATAAATCTACAGGCCTTGGGGTGCCTAGATGGCTCAGTTGGTTAAGTGACCAACTTGACTTCTGCTCAGGTTGTGATCTCATGGTTCGTGAGATGGAGCCCCGAGTCAGGTGCCATGCTGAGTGTGGATGCTTGGGATTCTCTCACCCTCTCTCTCTGCCTCTTCCCTGCTCATGCTCTCTCTCTTTCTCTCTCTCTCTCTCTCTCTCTCTCTCTCAAAATAAACAATAAAAATCTACAGGCCTCTTGTGCATTTTTAAATTGACATCTAAATTTTTTAATAACTTAATTAGTGGCAAGGATGTAATTTCTAATACAAATATTGATCCTTTCCAATGAAATTGTTGTATCGCTCTTTTAAATGTATCCAGTGGTATCTATCATGATTTGATGCTACCATCCATTAAAACAATACATAGCAAAACTTTTCATTAACACTAAGAAATTTCAGATTCTTACTTTTGCTCCCTGAACACATACTACCATTCCAACACTTGCCCCTAAATTCTACCCCATTAGAATGTTTTTGTGCTTGAAAGACTTATCAATTTATCATACTTCTTTGTAACAAAAATATGTAATACAAATATAATTGACTATTTTTAATGTTTATTTTTGAGAGAGAGGGCACGTACGAGGGAGCAAGTGTGGGAGGGGCAGAGAGAGAGGGAGAGAGAATCCCAAGCAGGCTCTGGGCTATTAGCATGGAGCCTGATGCAGGACTCCATCCGGCAAACTATGAGATCATGACCTGGGCCAAAATCAAGAGCCAGATGCTTAACTGACTGGGCCACCCAGGCGCCCCTATAACTGACTTTTAAAAAATATCCCATAACCGTAAGGCTCTGTGAAAATTTTGTTTTGGATTGACATAATTAGTAGTATACATTCAATCAAAGCAGCAAAATATACCAGAAAATGTCATAATTATTAAATATAAAAAGTGAAATTTTATTAGAAATTCCTGTCTTAAAGAGCTAGATGGGCTTGTATATTTATTGCTTATTAATAAATTATCTTAAAACTTAGCACCTTTAGGTAACAAACATTTATTATTTCACAGTTTCTGAGGGTCAGAAATCTGAGGGCTTAACTGGGTGGTCCTGACTCCGGATCCCATGAGGTAGCAATCTATCGGCAGTGGCTACGGTCATTCAAATCTTGATGGGGACAAGTTACCCACTTCCAAAGTCACTTACAAGGCTATTGGCAGGAGGCTTCAGTTCCTTGCCGTATGGGCCTCCTCAAAATGTTATGACACAGAAGCTGGCATTCTCCAGAGTGAATAATCTGAGAAAGAATGACCGAGACAGAGGCATGGTATCTTTTTACAACTTTACTGAGATACAATTCACAGCCCGAACAAGTCTCCCATGTGAAGTGTACAATTCAATGGCATTTAGCATATTCACAGAGTTGTGCGTCCATCACCACTGTCAATTTTAAAACCTTTTCATTACTCCCAAAGAAATTTTACACTCCATCCTCTCAAATGCCCTAGCTGTAGGCAACCAATTTTCTACTTTCTGTCTCTATAGGTTTGCCTGTTAATGGACATTTCATGAAACTGGAATTACACAATGTATGGTTCTTTGTGACTAGCTTCTTTCACTTCACATAATAGTTACAATGGTCATCATGCTATGGTATATATCAGTACTTTGTTTCTTTTTATGGTTGAATAATATTTCACTGTATGGTTATATCTCATTTATCCATTTATCAGCTGATTTGGGTTGTTTCCACTTTTTGACTATTATGTATGAACATTCATGTACAAGTTTTTGTGTGCATACACGTTTTCACTTTCCTTAAGTATATATACCTAAAAGAGAAATTAGTATTTATACCCAGTACATACATTACTGGTCATATGGTAATTCCATGTTTAATCATTTGAAAATTGCCATACTGTTTTTCAAAGTGGTTACACCATTTTACATTCTCAGTAACGTCGTATGAGAGTTCCATTTTCTTCACAGAGTCATCAATACTTATTTTTTTTATTATTACACTGATCCTAGTGGATATGAAGTAACATCTCATGGTTTTTTTTGTTTATTTATGTTTAATTTTTTTTACTGTTTATTTATTTTTGAGAGACAGATCATGAGCAGGGGAACGGCAGAGAGAGAGGGAGACACAGAATCGGAAGCAGGCTCCAGGCTCCGAGCTGTCAGCACAGAGCCTGACGCAGGGCTGAAACCCACAAACCATGAGATCATGACCTGAGCCAAAGTCAGAGGCTTAACCAACTGAGCCACCCAGGTGCCCCTATTTATTTATTTTTAGAGAGAGAAAGAATTGTGAATGGAGTAGGGGTGGAGAGAGAATTCCAAGCAGGCAGAATTCCATGCTGTCAGCTTGGAGCCCAACAACACGTGGCTCGTAAGCATGTGTGCAAGCAAGTAAGGGAGGAGCTGAGAGGGAGAGAGAATCCCAAGCAGGCCCCATGCTCAAACCCAGGACCATGACTCAAGCCGAAACCAAGAGTTAGACACCCAACCCACCAAGCCACCCACACACCCCGAGGCACAATAGGTTTTAAATTCGATGATGGCTATTTGTGTTTTTGGAGTAATATCTAAGAAACCATCGCCTATCCAAAGTTGTAAAGACACCTATGTGAGAATGGTACTTTTTTAAAATTCAAAATCTGAAATAAAAAGGGAGTCATTAAAAATGTAAATACATTATAAACATCAAAAGAGGATATACAAACAACTGTATGTTAATAACACTGAAAACGTAAACGAAAAACTCCTAGAAAACATAACTTAAAAATAACACAAGGAGAAATAGAATTGGATATTCCTATAACTAGTAAAAACAATAAATCAGAAAGCTTCCCACAAATTCCATTTGCCTTCATTAGTGAAATTTCTTGTCTTCGTAGATTCTTCCAGAGAATTTTAAAAAGGAGGATATACTCCAACTCATTTTATGGTAAGCATAATCTTGATACAAAACCCAGTAGAGAAAGGAAAATTACAGGCAAAGTCATTCATGAATATAGTTGAGAAAACCATGAGTGGGAGTCAGATGGAGTAAGCACATTCCTCCTGTCTCTCCCACTGAATGCAGCTGTAAAACCTAGCCAGAATGCATGGAGCAGAAGCTATTTGAGGACTCTGAAAAGTAAATAGTGGCAGACAAGTTGGGGAAGAAGACCAAAATATGAAGCACTGAACTGGCAATGAATTCACCATTTTTTATCCTCTGGTTCTCCTGCCACTTGGTCTCAGACACGGGTGCAGTTATGAAAGTGCATGGCAGGCAGAGTAAGCTAAGCAAAGCTCTAGCTTCCTGGTGGAGAACCAAAAAGAAGAACCCCAGAGACCTGAATAGTACAAGGGAGATCGTAGAGAAGGAGCACCTTGGAGAAGTGGCCCTATAAAATCGCTCGCAAACTCCTGGGCTCAGCCCTGCCCTGTACTTAGGTCTGGTCTTAATCAGCATGTAAGACTTTGAGAACTGCACTTTCCACCATCCAAGTCCCAGACTGTCCACTGGGTAGCACACATGTGGACTAGATCTGAACACCGTTGCAAAGTGAGAAAATTAAAATGAAATTCTAACCGTAATCCACAAGACTGGTTTGGAACTTACAGCCTGAATCTAATTAGGTCAATTGCATACTAATAAAAAATAACATTCTTCATATGATTTAAACAAGAGCCAGAGTCTCATAGCTTAACACTCAAAATGTTTAAGATACATTCTTAAACTTGGCAGATGAATAATTACTTGGCATACGAGTAACTAAGGAAAATCTCAACTCACAAATAAAGACAGTCAACATGTGTCAATATTTTTTTTTAATTTTTTTTTCAACGTTTATTTATTTTTGGGGGGACAGAGAGAGACAGAGCATGAACGGGGGAGGGGCAGAGAGAGAGGGAGACACAGAATCGGAAACAGGCTCCAGGCTCCGAGCCATCAGCCCAGAGCCTGACGCGGGGCTCGAACTCACGGACCGCGAGATCGTGACCTGGCTGAAGTCGGACGCTTAACCGGCTGCGCCACCCAGGCGCCCCAACATGTGTCAATATTAAGATGACTTAGATGTTGGACTCACGTGACAAAGACTTTAAAGCAACCATTATAAAAATGCCCTAACAATTGTAAACATCCTTGGAACAAATGGAAAACTTGGAAGATTCAGTAAGGAAATAGAAAATATAGTGAATAACAAAATGGAAATGCTAGAACTGGAAAATAAGAAAGCCCAGAAGTTAAAAACTCACTGGATGTATCCCAAAGCAGTATGGAGATGACAAAGGGAAGAGTCTGTGAACATAAAGATGAGTAAACATTAGTCTAAACAATAGTGAGGGGGAAAAAAACCTGAAAAGATCCCAGGGAACCTGTGGAACAATAAAAAAAAAAAAAAGTCCAGCATTTGTTCCATTAGACTTCCAGAAACAGAGAAAGAGTGCAGAGCTGGAAAAATGCTTGAAGTAATAACAGCTGAAAACTTCCCACATTTGGCAAAAGACATAAATCTACATATTCAAAAGGTTCTGTGAACTCCAAACAAGATAAAGCCAAAGAATTTTATACCCATACACATCATAGTAAAACTGCTGAAAACTAAAGAAAATAAATCTTCCATGTGGTCAGACAAAAATAATACATTCTGGCAGAGAAGCAATGATTTGAATGAATGCTGAATTCTCATCAGAAACCATGAAGGCAAGAAGGGGGTGGCACAATATTTTTAAGGTGTTGAAAAAAGGAACTCTCGAGCCAGAATTTTCTATCCAGTAAAAATAACCTCCAGTAATGAAGACAAAATAAAGACATTCTCAGAAGGATGAAAAGTGAGAGCATTCGTGGCCAGTTGACACGCTCTAAAAGAATGGCTAAAGGAAGTTTTTCAGAGGAAAGGGAAATGAAAGCTAGAACATCAAGAATGAAGGAAGAGTGAAAAAATGATCAATATCTGGGTAAATATAATAGACCATTCTTTTTCTTTTGAGTTCTTTAAAATATGCTTGATATTTAGAAGCAAAAAAAAAAAAAAATAGAACAGTGTCTGATGGGGTTTTCAACGTGTGTAGATGTAACATATAAGACAACTACAATATAAAGGGGGAGGGTAAAGGGACCTATATGGAGTAAAGTTTTTGATATTTCACTTGAAGTAGTTACATATTAATTTTAAATGGACTATGAAGTTCAGTATGGATACTGTAATCCCTAGAACCACTAAAAACTTTATACAAAGAGATATTATCAAAACACAATAGGTTAAAATGGAATGCTAAAATATATTCAAATAACCCCAAAGAAGGTGGGAAAGAAAGGAGGGGAATGAAAAAGAGGGGCAAAATGGAAAATGAATAATAAAATGGGAGCCCTATATCCAAACATATCAATAAGTCATTAAACTTTTTTTTTTTTTAATTTTATTTTTTCAACGTTTATTTATTTTGGGGACAGAGAGAGGCAGAGCATGAACGGGGGAGGGGCAGAGACAGAGGGAGACACAGAATCGGAAACAGGCTCCAGGCTCCGAGCCATCAGCCCAGAGCCCGACGCGGGGCTCGAACTCACGGACCGCGAGATCGTGACCTGGCTGAAGTCGGACGCTTAACCGACTGCGCCACCCAGGCGCCCCTAAACTTTTTTTTTTTAATGTTCATTTATTTATTTTTAGAGAGAGTTTGGGGGAGAGAGTCTGTACCGTCAGCACAGAGACTGACTTGGGACTTAATCTCATGAACCATGAGATCATGACCTGAGCTGAAATCCAGAGTCAGATGCTTAACCGACTGAACCACTCAGGCATCCCTAAATATAACTGTTTTCAACACACAATACAGGGGCACCTGGGTGGCTCCGTTAAACATCTCACTCTGGATTTCAGCTCAGGTCATGATCTCATGCTTCATGGATTCAAGCCCTGCATGGGGCCCTGCTTGGGATTCTCTCTCTCCATCTCTCTCTCTTCCCCCTCCCTGCTAGTGTGCTCTTTCTCTCAAAAATAAATAAACATTAAAAATAAATAAATACACCAATATAAAAATCAGAGTTTGTTAGAATAACAAGACACGAACCAGTTATAGTCTGTCTACAAGAAACTTCAAGATAATGAATGATATAGATAGGTCAGAATGAAAAGGATGGAAAAAAGATCTACCATGCAAACACTAATATCAGACAAAGGAGACTCAAAACAAGGAAAGTAACAGGGATAAAGGCATATATTATCCGATGATAAAAGGGTCAGTTCACCAAGAAAACACTAAAATCCTAAATGTGTATGTAAGTAACAACAATTACCTCAAAATACATGAAGAACAGAACCAAAAAGAAAAACACACAAATCCACAATTATCGTTGGGGACTTCAATACTAATAGAAAGAAGTAATAGAAAGAAAATCAAGGATATAGAAGGACTGAACAATTGACATTTATAGGACACTCTATTCAGTAATAGCTAAATATGTGTTTTTTTCCCAAGTGCATATGGGACATTCACCAAGACAGACATATTTGGGGTCATAAAACAAACTACAACCTGGGGTGCTTGGGTGGCTCAGTTGGTTAAACGTCCGACTTCAGCTCAGGTCACGATCTCACGGTTCGTGGGTTTGAGCCCTGTGTTGGGCTCTCTGTGCTGACAGCTCAGAGCCTGGAGCCTGCTTCGGATTCTATGTCTGCCTCTCTCTCTCTCTGCCCCTACCCAACTCATGCTCTGTCTCTCTCTCTCCCAAAAATAAATAAATATTAAAAAAATTTAAAAAAAAACTACAAAAACAAAAAAAATTAGGAAAATACAGTGACCATAATGAAACTAAAGTAGATGTGATGAACAGAAAGATACTAGGAAAATTCCAAAACTTTGGAAATTAAACAAAACACTTCTTTTTTTCATAATGCATAGAAATTATTTATTTATTTTTTATTTATTTTTATTTTAACTTGTTTCATTTTTTAGTTTTCAAAATTTACAACCAAATTAGTTAGCATATAGTGCAACAATGATCTCAGGAGTAGATTCCTTAGTGCCCCTTACCCGATTAGCCCATCCCCCCTCCCACAACCCCTCCAGTAACCCTCAGTTTGTTCTCCATATTTATGAGTCTCTTCTGTTTTGTCCCTCTCCCTGTTTTTATATTATTTTTGTTTCCCTTCCCTTATGTTCCTCTGTTTTGTCTCATAAAGCCCTTATATGAATGAAGTCATATGATTTTTGTCTTTCTCTAATTTCACTTAGCATAATACCCTCCAGTTCTATCCATGTAGTTGCAAATGGCAAGATTTCATTCTTTTTGATTGCCGAGTAATACTCCACTGTATATACATGTGTGTATGTGTGTGTGTGTGTGTGTGTGTATATATACACACACACACCACATCTTCTTTATCCATTCATTCGTCGATGGACTTTTGGGCTCTTTCCATACTTTGGCTATTGTTGATAGTGCTGCTATAAACATGGGGGTGCATGTGTCCCTTCGAAACAGCACACCTGTATCCCGTGGATAAATGCCTAGCAGTGCAATTGCTGGGTCGTAGGGTAGTTCTATTTTTAGTTTTTTGAGGAACCTCCATACTGTTTTCCAGAGTGGCTGCACCAGCTTGCATTCCCATAAACAAAACACTTCTAAATAATCCATGAGTCAAAAAGTCTGTAGGGAAATTAGAAAATATTTTCACCTGAGTGAATGAAAATACAAATATAAAGTTTTCAGGATGTAAAGTAATTTTAGAGAAAAGTTATTAGTATTAAATTCTGGTATTAGAAAAGAAGAAATGTCTTAAGTAAATAATCTAAGCTTTCACTTTAAGCAACTAGAAATAGAGCAAAGTAAACCCAAAGGAAGCAGTAGGAAAGAAATGATAAAGAGCATAAATCAATAAAATTGAAAGCAGAAAAGTAGAGAAAATTAATGAAATCAAAATCTGGTTCTTTGAAAAAAATAATAAAATAAATCTCTAGCAAGACTGAAGATACAAATTACATGCAATACTCTGCAACATTAAAAGGATAATAACAGGATGTTGTAAACAACTGCACATAAATTTGACAACATAAGTGAAATGGACAAATGCTTGAAAGCCACAAACTACCAAAACTCACCAAAGATGAAATGGCTAATCTGCACAGTCATATGACCACTTAAGAAATGGTCACCTCCCGAGGGAAAAAAAAATCTCCAGAACTACCTAGTATTGTCAGCCAAATATTTAAGGAAGTAACACCAGTTCTAAGCAATGTCTCCTGAAAAAGAGAGAGAAACAGAGACAGAGAAAAGGGAGCACTCCTCAACTCATTTTATGAGGCAAGCATTGCTCTGATACTAAAACTAGACAAAGGGAGTACAAAAAGAAAACTATAAATCAATATCTCCCAAGGACAGGGATGCAAAAATCCCCCGATAGAATACAGTCCCTGACTTAATGCTGGCTCAGTGTATAGTTTTTCAACTTTATGATGGTGCAAAAGCAATACTCATTCAGTAGAAACTGTTTGAATTTTGAATTTTGATCTTTTCTCAGGCTAGCGATACAACACTCCCTTGTGATGGTAGCTCCAGATCACAAGAGTAGACAACAAATATACTGAGAATGATTCTGTACCTATCCAACCAATCTGTTTGTCACTTTCAGTACAGTATTCAATAAATTACATGAGATATTCAATACTTTATTATAAAATAGGCTTTGTGTTAGATGACTTTTTCCAACTGTAGACTCATGTAAATGAGCCTGTTTAAGTTAGGCCAGGTTAAGCTATGATGTTTGGTAGGTTAATTGTATTAAAGGCATTTTTGACATGAGTTGTTGTCAACTTACAATGGGTTTATCAGGACATGACCTCACTGTAAGTCGAGAAAGATCTGTATTAGCAAGTTGAATCTATCAACATGTAAAAAAACAGTATATGAGGGGCACCTGGGTGGCTCAGTCGGTTAAGCGGCCGACTTCGGCTCAGGTCATGATCTCACGGTCCGTGAGTTCGAGCCCCGCATCGGGCTCTGTGCTGACAGCTCAGAGCCTGGAGGCTGTTTCAGATTCTGTGTCTCCCTCTCTCTCTGCCCCTCCCCTGTTCATGCTCTGTCTCTCTCTGTCTCAAAAATAAATAAAGGTTAAAAAAATTAAAAAAAACAAAACAAAACAAAACAAAAACAGTATATGATGACAAAATGGAGTTTATCTCAGGATGCAAGCTGGTTCAATATTTGAAAAACAAATCAATGTGGGGTGCCTGGGTGGATCAGTCAGTTAAGTGTCCCGCTTGGGCTCAGGTCATGATCTCACGGTCTGTGAGTTCAAGCCCCAGGTCAGGCTCTGTGCTGACAGCTTGGAACCTGGAGTCTGCTTCAATTCCGTGTTTCCCTTGCCCTCTGCCCCTCCCCTGCTCTCTCGCTCTCTCAAAAATGAACATTAAAAAAATTTTTTAAAAAGAAAAGAAAAACAAATCAATGTAATCCACCACACTCAAAGTTTAATGAAGAAAAATCACATAATTCACACAGAAAAAAATTTGACAGATTTTAACATCTACTTATTATAGAGTCTCATCTATGAAAAACCTATCATGTTAATGATAAATTTGGCATATTAATGGTGAAAGACTGAATGCTCTTCCCCTAAGATCAGTGACAAGTTAAGGATATTCCCTTACCACTCCTATTCAATGTTGCACTGGAAGTCCTAGCCAGTAAGAGTACACTTATTGTGATGAACACTGAATAATGTATAGAGTTCTTGAATCACTATATTATATATCTGAAGCTAATATAACACTGTATGGTTTTTCAAAGAATTTTAATGAACATTTATTTATTTTTGAGAGACAGAGAGAAACAGAGCATGAGTGGGGAGGGGCAGAGAGAGAAGGAGACACAGAATCGGAAGCAGGCTCTGAGCTGTCAGCACAGGGCCCCACGCGGGGCTCGAATCCACAAACTGTGAGATCATGACCTGAGCCGAATTTGGATGCTCAACCGACTGAGCCACCCAGGCGCCCCATAACACTGTATGTTAACTGTACTAGAATTAAAACTTTAAAAGAGTATGCAGAGGAAGGAATGAAGTTGTCCCTATAATTGTCTATACAGAAAATTTCAAGAAATCTGCAAAAAAACCTCCTAAAATTAATAAGTGAGTTTGACTAAGTTGCAAGATACATGGTCAACACACAAAAATCAATCATATTTCTCCATACTAGCAATGTATAGTTAGAAACTAAATTTTTTTAAATACCATTTACGGTTAGTTCCCTATGATAATTTTACAAGTAAAATAAAAATGAGCGAATATATAGTAAATGGAATCCAGCACTATATAGAGGGAATTCTATAGTTACTGAGTCCAGTAATTATATAAAAACATACAGTATTTTATATAAAAGTATGTCATATGTTGGGGCACCTGGGTGGCTCAGTCAGTTAAGCGGCTGACTTTGGCTCAGGTCATGATCTCGCGGTCCGTCAGTTCGAGGCCCACGTCGGGCCCTGTGCTGACAGCTCAGAGCCTGGAGCCTGTTTCAGATTCTGTGTCTCCCTCTCTCTCTGCCCCTCCCCCACTCATGCTCTGTCTCTCTCTGTCTCAAAAATAAATAAACATTAAGAAAAAAAGTATGTCATATGTCATAGCCAAGTTAGGTTTATACCAGGAATGGATGAATGGTTTTGCGTTGACAAATTAATAAAAGTGACTTGTCCTTATTAATAAAGGAGACAAGTTGTGTTCATTTCACTAGATGCAGCAAAAGTATTTGATAACATTCAATATCACAAT